ACTCTTCTTTAATCTGAAATCATTTTTCAGTCTTTTCTTGGTCTAATCTAATGATTCTTATTGGCAGTGCCATATTATAGCTGATTTTATCTAATTAAATAATTTAAGTGCAATCCAATGTGAATATTTTTCTTAGAGTATGTTCAGATGAGATATAATGTATCTGAAACTTCTTTGAGTATACGTGTGTTTTTGTGGGTCCTTGGATTCTTCGGGTTTTGTGGGTGCTTTACAAAAAGAGGTAGATGTCGAATTTATAAAGCTTTGTTTTCTGGGGCATCACTTAATAACAGAACTAGTGCACAGATAATAAAAGCATGTAAATAATTAAGTAACAAATTTATGTAAATTTTTACCATGTAAATAAATGAAATCCACATATATTACTAGTTATCAAGAATACAAGGTTTAGCAGTTTTAAAGAATCAGTCAAGTCACACTTAGTAAGTTTTTCTTATGGAAACGTTTTCTTATGGAAAGTTAAAGACATTTATATATGATAGTAAAATACAATTTTACTAACGACTGAAAAGAAAATTTACTCAGTGTAATAACTTCCAAAAGTATATGGATTAGAAACAGTTACATGATTAAAATAGTCCTTTGAGAAACTTGGTTTGGATATTCTTTTGTAGAATTGTTGATGTTTTGAGATAGCTTAATTTCCATAAAAATAAAAAAATCTACTTCTAGAAGAAATAAAAATGTGGCAAATCACAAATGGACACAATTACAGTGGAAACAATTGAATTTCAAGATAAACTCTTTCCTAAGTTCCATTCCTTCCCCGCCCCCCCCCCCCCCACAGACTTCTCAGAGGGGTTTAAGATTCAAAAGAAATCAGTACAACTTCACACTTAGAATTCTTCCACTTTGAATCTCTTCTTCCAACTCCTAGAGCTCCTTAACCACCAAAGCCAACCATTTTTCACATTGTGATCTGCTCACTGGTCTTTTCCCTCTTTACTGATACAGCCCCAGCAATAGTGCTGACATATGCTTGATACATATGTGTTTGGAACACATATGTAATCTCAGTGTCTGAGAACAGAAGATTGAGAAATCACACTGCATCACTTCCTCGTTGAAAAACCAAAGCAAGTAGAACCACTTATATCAGCTCAATATGTATTTCCTTTACTTCCAAGTATTTCAGATTTTTAGAATCATCTAAGATAGTTAAGTAAAATTATATTTAAGTTCAGGTTGAAAGAAGTTCAGTCGTAATCTTAATAAATCATTAATTGACCAAGTATTAGAATATAAGGCAAGGCAAAATATAAGGCAAATTAAAATTAAGGAAAATTAATTAGGAAAATTAACTAGGAAAATTAAAGCATCTTCTCACGAATACACAATTTTTAAAGAGAAAGCTCATCATTATTACTAAACGCTTATTTGCTGTTATGTTACCTCCATAGAAATAGTCCCTAACATATATTTTTAAAATTTGGCCTAATCTCTTAAATTTTGCCTCATTACACATAATTTTTGGACTAAGTGTATTATATTTTTTAAAAAACCAAAGATATATTACATTATTTTGAGTTTTTTCTAATTGGTAGCACTGTAGCACTGTCCTCCCACTCTTCATCGATTTGCTTGAGCAGGCCTAGTAACATCTTCATTGTGAGACTTCTTGTTACTGTGTTTGGCATATCGTATACATCACGGGTAGCTTGCCAGGCTTTGCCGTGAAGGCATGATACTTTCCGTAGCTTTCTGGCTCTCTTAGAGGGTATTCATGTTAATTTCCTGAATTTGAAAATTTTGTTCTATGTCAGGCCTTGACAGTCTATGACAGTCTCCTGCCCCTGCACCTGGCTGTCCTCGCCGGGGCCCCTTGGAGGGGAGCGGGTTGAGCTTTCCTCCCCACCCCGACCAGGACTTCGGCAGCCTAAGACCTCCAGGACCAGCCACCACCATGCTGAGACCACTCTCCACATACATGAAGGTACTGGCAGAGGGACAAAGTCACGCGGGTTCCGGGGCCGAGATCTCCAAGCCTACTCAGATTTGGGCCGAGCATCCTCCACCCAGATCCTCCAAATTCCATAGGTGGGGGTCACACCCACCAACTGACCCCCTGGCACCGTGTAATCCCATCAACGGCCAAGACTCAGAGACTATAAAAACCAGCTCCCGGAACCACACAGCCGCATTCGCGGCCGCATGATATCTTATTATGACATCTTATTATCTCATTCCTACTTTGGACAAACTGGCAGGCTACCAAATGTAACCTGCCCACACGGCAGAATCTGGCAAACTCCCCATGGCGTACCCAATATGCCAAATACCAGTAACAATGATGGGTCTCATTCTCCTAAAGAGCCTTGAATATAATCTCAGGGCTAGGATGAAGGAGATGTTACTGGGGCCTGCTTGAGGCAATCGACGAATAACAGGATGATTTGTGATTTGTGAATTGTGACGTCAGGCATTACCTATTATGTGTAACTTGAAACTGTTTGACTAGCTGTGGTGTGTGTGTGTGTGTGTGTGTGTGTGCAATTGTGTGTGTGTGACAGTACAAGGGCATGTGTAGGTTTATAAATTCAAGTTTTGCCTATCAGTTTGGATAAAACCCCAGTCATTTGTCTTTATCTGCTTCTATCATGCTCACAAAAGTCTCAACTAATCCTAATATTTGGTATCCTCTATGGATTTCTAAAAAAAAAAACGCTATAAAGTGATACAAAATGTTTAGGTCATGCTGCAGGTATTTCTCACTGTGAATCAGAAGATCAGATTTCTAGTTTATTTATTAAGTTCTCACCGTGTGACAGGCACTGTCTTAGGCACCAGAAACTCAGCAATACACACAAAACAGAGAGAGAGAGTGAAAGCTTACCACCATGGAACATGTTTCCCTGAGGAGATCATCTCTGAGTAAGCAGAGTGCAAATAATTCAGAGAACCGTAAGTGCGAGGAATAAAGTCAAGTGGAACAGTGAAATGGTATTCAGACTTAGAGCAAACAATTTGATATGATGTGATGAGGAAAAGCCTCTGAGATCACATCTGAAGAGGGAAGCGCATCAATCTTAAGGAAGATCTAGCCATATAATGATTTGTAGTCAGAGAATTCAAGATAGAGAAATAGTCAAGGGCCCCAGGTGGCGGTTCGGCTTTCCCCAGCACCCCTCAAGAAACATAATGTAGAAGCGATTCTTTTGTAAGGAAAAATAACATCATGGGATGTAAAACTGTTTCCTTTCATTGAAAGTTGTTGCTACCTTGCTGTGTATCTTTAAGTCCTACACATGTTTTTAAAATCTGTCTCGAGCTACACAAGCTCTACATGCTAAACAGTCTGCCACGGAGACCCAAGGCGATTTTTATAGTGTTTTTCTTCTGCTAAACATGTTCAGTGGAAATTTAACTTATTTTAATTCTGCTCAATACTGGCACAGTTTCCAAGCCAACAGAATACACAGGTACCAATTATGAACACTCTTACTCATTACTCTAAAATTTTCACTGAGTTTCTCATAAAGTCCATCTCAGTAATCAGGCTTTAATTTATAATAAATTTTTATTTAGAATATATAAACAAAACCTGACCACCTATTTCAGATTTATTCTATATTTTAGAGCAAAGTCATTGCTTGAAAGTAGAAGGGAATGGATTTTCCTCCATTTGCTCCATATTTTCTCTTTAACTAACATTTTGGTATGGAAATGAGAGTAGACAACTACTCTTTCACTGACTTGACTTACACTGAGCTAATACAGTGACCTGAAAAAGACCATCAAAAATGAGGGTCTAAAGATATGAAGATCTTTTCTTCTTCCCATGTTCTTTCCTTGTCTTTCATGTATGGAAGAATGATCATGTTTTATCTCTCATATATTTACATGGAATTCAAGTCATTATTTAAAGTCTTTAAAATTATGGAATTTTTAAAGATGTAATGTGTATTTGAAAGTGTTTTGATGACATATGGTTTAAAAAAAAAGCAAAGCAATTCATTCTAGTTTGCTTAGAAAAAGGATTTAAAAAATTGAGTTCTGGTCCAACAGAGAAAAGTTCTCTAATTTCTAAAGATAATATTTGGTAAGTTAGTCACAGAAGTCAATGCATTCTTCAATACTACAAAAGGATAATAATAGAATCATAATACTTGGGATATTACTAGTAAATATATAAAAGTCATATTGGCTTACTATTGTTAAAAAAACTTCCTATCATTTTTTTCTTTCAAATGTTATTTCTATTCAACACAAAATCCTATTATTTCACATAAATAAGGCAAGGAATGTTGAAATAAAATATCTCCTTCAATGAAACACTGCATAAAATGCTATATTGATTTCTAAAGAAATAAATAGTGCATTTTATCCTGTTTTACTGCATAATCACTATCAATACACAGCCGTTATAATCTATTTTTTTAAGCTACACTAACACTTTAAATAAAAAAGCCATACATAATGATGGTACTCCATTTATTTGCAAAAAATATTTGGCATAAAATCTGTGACAATTGTCAATGAAATGATGTATACACACCTAATTCTCAATAGATAAATGAAAAGGATCAGTCAGGAATAATGTATAACTTTTCTGCCAAACCACTTTAGGACCTCTATTAGAACTGGTAATTATATGCATAAAACTATTTTGGATATTCTTCACTTAAAAAGTGAAAAATGTAAAAATTCTTGAATTAATGTAAAGTATTCAACATGCTTTTTATTTTATTCAACACCCTGAACCCTTAAATATCAGTTTTGCTAATTTCATTGCACTAGTTTTCAGAGGTCTCTGCTCAGTGAGAAGACTCTTAGACTCTCTCTACCTTTTCTTGTGAGGATATGATTTTAAAAGACAAAAGTATTCATATCTAATATGAATCGCATAGTCTAGTATGGTTTTCAAACTCTAGGAAAAACTTATATACAAACAAAGTAAATAAATATAGTGTAGTAAAAGTAATGTTTTCATACCAGCTTAAAAACCATAATTCAAAATCTAGAAATACACAGCGACTTACTTTGGTAGAGTTTTCAAGTGGTTTTCTCTCAGCTCCAAGATACGTAATTTGACAAGTCTGTAGAAACAAATTAAAATATTTCCTCTTAATATATTATGTGGAATATCATTCTTATGATAAAATTATCATATCTTATTTAAGAATGCCTAGATATTAGACACTATTGTAGATTTTATACAATTGTATAAAAACAATTATGCTTGCATCAATATTGGACTATAAAAAATTCCACTCTTGTAAAAATAAACATTCTTCAAATGCATAGTCAAATCCATGCCATCCTCATTTCATATCTTATGATAAGATATTCATGGCTACCCCATTGAATGCATTCAACAAATTACTGATTTTCTACTAAATACCTGGCCTATGTTCACTTGATCTTGGCAAACTTTCCTGAAAGATAATAAATAAACCTTTAAAAGCGAATGTATACTGTAATTATTTAGGCTTAAGATTCTTGACTGGATACACGGATATGAAGAGAGATCCAAAATATTTTCTATTTTATCTTAGTGAACACATCGGTGCTTCCTAACTTCAGTTTCGTCGTCTATAATAAATATGAGATAACAGTGTCCAAATACTAGGAATTTTCATCTCCAATGATAAATATGAAAAACATGATTCCAGGAATATCATAAATTTTAGCATATTAGTGATCATTTTCACTAACTTCACAATGGAAAAAATGCTATGATATATTATTTCTCTCTCTCTCTCTCTCTCTCTCTTTTTGCTTTTTGAGTCACATCTGGTGATACACAGAGGTTACTCCTGGCTTTGCACTCAGGAATTACTCCTGGCGGTGCTCCAGGGACCATATGGGATGCTGGGAATCGAACCCGGGTTGGCTGCATGCAAGGCAAATGTCCTACCCGCTATACTATTGCTCCAGCTCATATCTCTTTGTTTATTAGGTAAATGTCTCTTTCTCAGAAATACTTCTCTACTGGGCTGGAGTGATAGCACAGTAGGTAGGGCATTTGCCTTTTATGCAGCCTACCCAGATTCGATTCCTCCACCCCTCTTGGAGAGCCTGGCAAGCTACCGAGAGTATCTCATCTACAGGGCAAAGCCTGGCAAGCTAGCTGTGACGTATTCGATGTGCCAAAAAAAAGTAGTAACAAGTATCACAATTTGTTGTGAGACTCTATTGGTGCATGCTCGAGCAAATCGATGAACAACTGGAGGAGAGTGCTACTTCTCTACTAATCTCTTTCACCTCCAATCACAGTTATCTTCAGGTTCATCTAGGTCTAGAGGAATTTTAGACGTATTTTATAACTTTTTTTTTTTTGCTTTTTGGGTTGCACCCGGCGATGCTCAGGGGTTACTACTCCTGGCTCTGCACTCAGGAATTACTCCTGGAGGTGCTCAGGGGACCATATGGGATGCTGGGATTTGAATCCAGGTCGGCCGCGTGCAAGGCAAACGCTCTATCTGCTGTGCTATCGCTCCAGCCCCAGAAGTACTTTATAACTTTTCATCACTTTATCTTTTCTTTTTCTATAAATTTCTATAAAGTTTACAATCTCATTTAATCTTATAACTTTAAACTTTAAGTCAAATCTCTTGATCACTTGATCACTTGGCATCCCGTTACTCATCGATTTGCTTGAGCGGGCACCAGTAACGTCTCAATTCGTCCCTGTCTTGTGCTAGTGTACTCCAGTGGCGTCTGCTCATTCTAGGAACACAAAGAGCCTCAAACTAATCATCCAGGGTCTTGACGAAGAAGTATGACCATCGCATAGGGAGGTGGTCACATGATCTTTTGACACCTCGTGGAATTCGATAGGTAATGGCTCTAGTCCAGCGGTCGTCTCCAAATCTCATTATGTGTGCAGTCCATCTGACTTTCAATGCCTTGGCAAATGAGACAGCATCCCTGATTCTTGACCATTGACAGAGGTCAAAACTCTGGATTCTTTCTCTCATTAACTGAAGTGTGATACTCCAAGCATAGCTCTTTCGATTCCTCTTTGGGAGACCTGAATACTGTTCTCATCCTGTTTTCATCAGGTCCATGTCTCTGAAGCGTAAGTTAATGCAGGAAGAACAGTGGAATTGAAGAGATGTGCCCAGAGCTGGAAGTTCTTTGTCTGCTTAGCTAATTCTTCTATGCTCTTGAAGGTGTTCCAAGCCGCTCTCTTCCTCCTACACAACCCAAGTGCCAGGTCATTCATTATGTTGACTTCTCGACCCAGCTACACATAACTGTTGCATTTAGAGATGTTCCTTCCATTGAGAGAGAATGGAGTGTCAGGAACGAAGATGGTTCTCATAAACATTGTCTTTGTGACATTCAGCTATAGTCTGACCTTTCCACACTCATGGTCGAAGTCGGCCTGCATTTGTGCCACTTGGTCGATATTTGGTGTTATAAGAATAATGTCATCAGTGAAGTGGAGGTGGTGTAGTTGCCAACCATCTATCTTCACTTCCATTCCTTCCCATTCCAGTTTTCACATGACGTCTTGATGGTGGCACTGAAGAGTTTCGGTGAAATGGTATCACCCTGCCGAACCCCTATCTTGATGTCAATGATCACCTTTCTTTAGAATGGTGAGATCCTGGTAGTGAATCCGCAATATAGCTCACAGAGGATCCTGATGTATTGACATTGAACGCTCTGTTTGGCTAGGGCCTTGATGACCACTTCAGTCTCAACAGAATTAAAGGCCTTCTTTAAATCAATGAATGTTAAACAGAGCGGCATCTTGAACTACTGAGAAACCTCATTGAGCTTGCTTATCGTGTGGATATAGTGGATTGTATTAAATCCTTTTTGGAAACTTGCTCTCATGGTTGTCCTTCATCTAGTGTTCTGCTAATCCTATTCAGGATGACTCGAGTGAACAGCTTGTAGATGACAGACAACAGGTAAATTGGGCGATAGTTGCCAAAGTCGTGGATGTCTCCCTTCTTGTACAGTAGTATAGTCCTGCTGGTTTTCCACTGGGACAGAACCTTGCATTCAGACAGGTAGCGTGTGAAGAGCCGAGCCAGTGTATTGATGAGTAACAATGGCAGGTTCTTCAGGTGTTCGGGTCTGGGCTGGATGCCGTTCACTTCTTTACTGATGAAATGGCATGTCAGATTTCGGAAGGAAGAACTTTGGGAACGACATATCTATCTTGTGGAATTTGGTATGTGGGCAGGTGGATGTGGCTATTGAAGAGATCCGAGTAGAAGTCATGGATAATCTTCTCCATTGCCCTTCTGGAAGATGTGATAGATCCATCAGGACATTGGAGGGCAGTCATCTTGGTCTTGTAGTTGGTGAAGGACAGGAGGGCGTTGTGAATGTTTTTCCCAGCTTCTGCTGCATCTGCCAGTACTGCTGCTCTTCTCTCTTGGAGGTCTTCCTTTATCACTTCTCTGCACTGCTTTGCAAGCTCGGACGTTTGCTTGTGGTTGTCTGAGGCTTGCACCAAGCCACATTTGTGAATGAGCTCGAGAGTTTTCGAAGACAGGTGTCTTTTTGTGGCTATCTCTCTCTCGGTGTTCTTCGCACAATCATGGAGGTGCTGAATCAGTTGATCGTATCCCTCGTCAATGTTGTCAACGATGGCATCTTCCCATGTTGCCGCAATAGTGCCAAAGAGCTCCCAGTTGGTGGTCGTTCTGGGAGTTCTCTTCTTAAACTTTGCAGCCCTTTCTCTTCGCTCTGTGAAGTAGAATTTTGCATGAAGGAGATGGTGGTCTGATCCCATTTGGAATTTTGGGACAACAGCGACATTGGTCAGGCAAAACTGTTGATTGAATCTGATGTGGTCAATTTCATTGTGGAACCATCTGCTGGGAGACTCCCATGTCCAGTGTTTAGATTCGGCCTTCTGGAACTGTGAGTTACCATGGATGGTCTTGGTCAACATAATGAACTCAGACAGTTTCTCACCCTGTTCATTCCATTCTAGGCCATAGGTCCTGATGTGGATTTCTTCAGCTGATCTTCTCGGTCCTATCTTGGCATTAAAATCACTGACAATGATCTTGTCAAAGGTGTGGTCTTCTTTATAGTAGTACTTCTCCAGTTCCATGTAGAACGTCTCAATTTCTCCTTCATCATAATTGGATGTTGGTGCGTAGACAACAAAGATAGAAACTGCCGGCAGTGAGCCACATCTATTCATCTCTCTACATAATAATATCTATATACCATAATTTAATTTAATTCTTCATAGCACAGAAGAATCACTAGAAAATTGATTTTGAAAACTTTTAATTGTATTAAATCTTTTCAGCAGTTGTGCCTATGATGATACTTTGCAACTATTTTGTTTTGCAAGAGTGAGGAGTTTGGTGGGGGGGTGGATCACCCAAGTGGTGATCAGGAAGCCTGGTGGACCCTTCTGGTGATTTCCAGTCAAATGCATGCACAGTTCTATGCAAGGACCCAGTGATACGGCTATGTGGTTCCAGGAATCTGGGTCATCCTGGTGGTGCTAGGTGGGGTAGTGGGCATAAGGACTTTCCAGAGTTGTACCTGGTGATGCTCTTTTCTGTTACTACGTAATGCTGGGGATCAGATTTTGGTGGGAAAGCATCTTAAAACCTATATTATATCTCTGGCCCATGTAACTTATTTTTGACTTTAAGGTTACCATACTTAGAATTTTGGAAGAGATTTTAAGCAGCATTTTTGTTAGACTGATCAGTTGAAGCTTGGAAATCCTTTCACAGTACAACTTTACAATAAAATGTATTTTGACAGATAATTCATACAAAATTGAACTTCAGTTCCCAATGGTCTGGATTTGTGTGTTAAATTTTGTTTGCCAAATTCTCTTCCTTCACATTAGGACAACTGAAAGAGAACTAATAAAAAATTCAAGACAAAAAAAATGTGCCTGAGGATGCTAATGAAATAATTTCTGATTTGATAATGCATATATTTGAGGGTCAGAATTCAAAAGACAATATCAATCTATATTAAAGAATGCTAATGTGCTAATTGCTTTAGAAACTAGGCAATACTGTTTTATATATCTGTGAGTTTTAAAAACTGTGCAAATATATGGTATTTTGAGTTGGGATTTCATGATCTACAAGAATTTAGTAAATGATGATGTGCTCTGTATGTAAATGGTGAATTGCTACTGGTTCAGTGACATAATTTCACTAAGTTCTTGATGTCCTACTCTAAATTTTTCCAACAGATAGATGTCAAGTTTTACTTGGTTTGTTATCTTAACAATGTCACATATTATCACTTAGAAAGATTATAAACTAGATTACTTTGACAATAAACTTAAAATGTCTTAACTTTTAAGACATATCACTAATCATTTCACAGTTTTGAAATAGAAAACTCAAAATCCTAGGTTTCTGATGACAGATAAGTAGATGAAGAAGATATGCTATATACCCAATGGAAAATATCCAGCCTTAAAAAGGATATTTTGTAATTTGGATGTCTGTTAATGGTTGAATCTTGAGGTAATTATGTTAAGTGAAATTAGTTATAGAAAGACAAATATTGTACAATACCACTTATACCTGTATGTTAAATATAAGAAAAAAATAATCCCAGAGAAAAGGAGATAAAATTTTCAGGTAACAAAGAAGCATGGTGGGGGAGTAGGGAAACTGAATTAAGAAAGTTATAAGTATAAACTTCTAATTAGAGGATTAGTTCCGAGGATACAATGTGTATAATAAAACAGCTGCACTGCACTGTCCTGAACTGTCCAATTGATTTGCTCGAGTGGGCACAATAATATCTCCATTCTGAGACTTGTTATTACTGTGTTTAGCATATCAAATACATCACGGGGAGCTTGCCAGGCTTTGCCGTGTGGGCGAGATACTCTCAGCAGCTTGCCGGGCTCTCTGGAAGGGGTAGAGGAATCGAACCTGACTCGGCCGAACTGGCTGTGTGCAACGCAAACGCCCTACCGCTGTGCTATCTCTCCAGCCCATAAAATAGCTATATGATATGTTTAAAAGTTTCTAAGAGAATAGATTCTAGAAGGATTTTTAAGGTAGTAACCCTTTCTGTATTTTTGTAATTATATGAACTAATGACTATGAATTAAACTTAATATGACAATTATATTTCAATTTGTGTAAGACAAATCATTACGCTGTAAACTCTTGGCATTGTGTGTCAATTATATTTCAATAAAACTGAAATAAAAGATAGTTCAGTGCAGACCACCTGGAAGCTATTGAAAGATATAAAGATAAAAATAACTTTTATTTCACATGTAACTGCAGGTGTTGTCTATAGAACTGGGCTTATATGGGGGAAGGAATTGGGAGAGGTCTTTGGGGCACTGGTGCAGGGAAACTGCCTCTCTGATGATGCATGTTATATCAGATAATGTTTTCAAGAAGAGTAAGATTGAAGAATTGTAAATCTACATAGGCCAATAAAATGATTTTAAAAGACCTATTTTATAAAGTTTTTGTATCAATATAGGGAGTACAATTTATGTATTTTGTGCTTCTAAACACAATTTATTATAGAAATTAAAAACGCATTAAACAAAATTACAAATTGATATGCAGTATTGTCATGTGGTTGCACCACAAATATTATACAATGTCTTAGCAATATATAGTGGCTTAGGCCAGAGAGATAGTACAGTGGGGTATGATGGTCCTCTGAACACTCCCAGGAGTTATTCCTGAGCATGGAACCAGGAATAAACCCTGAGCACAGCCAGGTGTGGCAAAAACAAAAGGAAAAATGAAGGAAGACATAGCTTCCTCTTCTTCACATTAAAATGAAGGCAAAAAATTTACTTATTAACAAAGTATAATGATCTGATGATGGCATATACATTTCCAGAAATGGATTATAAATTGATGCTGGTAAATGTGTTCTAACATTCTAAAGCACAACAGCCTTCATTGAGATCATAACATTATACAATTCCATCAGAAGTGTGTATTTACTCATTTTTGTTTGCTTTTGGGGTCACATCCATTGTGTTCAGGAATTACTCCTGGCTCTGTACTCAGGAGTCACTGCTGATGGTGCTCAGGGGACCATATGAGGTGCTGGAGAAAAAATTGGGACTGGTCATGTATAAGGAAAGTTCCTTACTCTCTCTACTATCTCTTTTACCCCCTAATTTGTTGTTTTTATTATGTGAGAGAATAAATACATTTTCTTGGTTCATTGTCTACTTACAAGTTTTCTTTCTTTCTTTTTCTTTTTTTAACTGAATCACCATAAAATACATTTTCAGAGTTGTTCATGATTGGATTTTAGTTATACAATGTTCCAGCACCTGTCTTTTCAACCTCTAAGTTTTATTATGAATTTATTGTAGGTATCATCTACCCCTTTTAGCTGTTGTTGAGATCGTTAGCTTCATATACATCTGTAAGAACTCTTGATGTGGTAAGGATATAACTTATCTTCTATATGTGCTGAAAAAATTTTCCCAGATTACAATTTTATTCTTCCAGTTTCATTCTCACGAGTTTTGCCAAATAGATTTCTTCCCACAGAACACGATGGAAGATCCTCCAAATTCCAGTAGGCGGGGGTCACACCCACCAACTGGCCCCCTGGCGCCGTGTAATCCCATCAGCGGCCAAGACTCAGAGACTATAAAAACCAGATATCGGAACCATGCGGCCGCATTTGCGGCCGCGCAACATTTTATTATGACATCTTATTATCTCATTCCTACTTTGGACAAACTGGCAGGCTACTGAATGTAGCCTGCCCACACGGCAGAGTCTGGCAAACTCCCTGTGGCATACCCAATATGCCAAATACCAGTAACAATGATGGGTCTCATTCTCCTAAAGAGCCTTGAATATAATCTCAGGGCTAGGATGAAGGAGACGTTACTGGGGCCTGCTCGAGGCAATCGACGACTAATCGACGACAATTTTATTCAGTTATATATTTTCTGATACTATTTTAATAGTAGTTATTTAGTAAAATCTAACTATCCAATTATAACATTTTCTTTTGCTTCTCTACTATAAAGGTATTTTCCAGTCTAAGTCACTAAGTACTTATGCATGCATAGTTTTTCTAAGATCATTCCTGATTATTATTTTTTTATATTTAACCCTTAAATAGCACAGCAGGTATGTCATTTGCCTTGCATGTGGACGACCTGGGTGACCTGGGTTCGATTCCTTCAACCCTCTCAGAGAGCCTAGCAATCTACTGAGAGTATCCCGCCCGCACAGTAGTGCCTGGCAAGCTACCCGTGGTGTATTCGATATGCCAAAAACAGTAACAACAAGTCTCACAATGGAGACATTACTGGTCCTGCTCGATCAAATTGATGAACAACAGGAGGACAGTGCAGTACAGTGTAGTGCTAACCCTTAAATGCACTAGAATTCATTGTATTAATGTTTAATAATAATAGTGATGGCTATTATTACTATTATAGACCTAATTTTACTCCCCAAATGATTAATTAATTAATACATACATTCATTTGTTAAATTAAAATGTTGCTTTTTTAACTTCACCTACTAACACTAGTAAAGTAGTTACCTGAAAACCCAACAAAAGGGCATCATTCACATTTCCTATTCTTACCTTCCAAAATTGGCTGGAAGAAATTCAAGAAAGGCGTCATTCAGGTAGAGCTGGGTCAGGTTTAGAAGTTGTGTGAAGCCATCGGGGAGTCTAAAAAGGAGTAAAAGAGTTAGTCAGTGCATAGATGTTGCCATAGAAACAGAACAAAAATATGTACCTCTGAGGAGAAAAAATAGAAGTTTAATACATTTTCCAAGAGTTCTTTTGGTATCACAGTAATGGAAGAATTTATTGAGCATGTTGTTACAGCTTGAAAATTTTGCCTGTTATTAAAATAAATGGCACTCATGCATCTCCACACTGCTCTCCAGAGCTGAGATTTACGTCTGCCAAAGTCAGCGACATCATCTCTTAGTGTTGCCCTAAACTTAGGCACAGCAATGAGGTATTTCTTATGGGAATTACAAATTGTATCCCATGCTCTGTAATTTTCAATAGCATGTTCTTTTCTTTTATTTTAATAATTTTTTGTTAAGATACATGATTTACAAATTATTTACAGGTAAGTTTTAGGCATACCAATCCTAACACCAGTACCACAACCAGTGTCAACTTCCCTTCAATAGTGTCCCCAGATTCCCTCTCATCCTCCACCCTGCCTCCTTGACTGGAACATTTTATCAAACATTTAACATCAATTTGTCATATTAAAAATGACAAAACATTCACAAAAATGTCTGCTTTATGAACCATTTTTATTTACTTTTATTTTTTTGGCATTTGGTGTTATTTATTTATTTATTTTTATTTATTTATTTTTTAATAGTGAGGCACCATGAGGTACAGTTGTAGACTTACACATTTTTGTGCTTGGGTTTCGATTATACAATGATCAAACACCCATCCCTCCACCAGTGCGCATTTCCCACCACCTCGGATCCCAGCATCCCCTCCCCCCCCAGCGCCTATCCCACCCTGCCTCTGTGGCAGGGCATTTCCCTCTCTCTCCTTTTGAGTGCCATGGTCAGCAAAGGAGAATAGCATGTTCTTTTTCTATAGAATGCTCACATACATATTCAAGCAAGGGCTGCATCTGCTCACTCTTTCTCTAACTCATTAAAAGTTGTTTATCATTCATCATACTGGTAACTAAAGTTGTCCAATATGAAAAATGGGGGAATTTTTTTTGTCCCCTTAACTGATCATTTCTTTAAGGGTTTGGTGTGAATGTGCATTCTAATTCAGTTTGGTCTAATTCATATTCATTAAAAATGAGTAAGAATATGAAAAGACTACTAAAGTTTTAAGAGGCATAAAAAGAAATGGAAAAAATTAATTCTCTGCAAATTCTACAAGTTAGAGAAAGTATTTGAAATATTTAAGTATTTTTCATGAAAATGACTTAATACAAGGATTTTTCCAGGAAACATTTTCTTAGAAGGGATATTGAATTTTTCTGTGATTAAAGTCCTCCGACATATTTTAATACCATTATCTAAGACCTACACAAATCTATAGTCATTTAGAAAATGCTTCTAAATTTGTCTTCCTCCTCTTTGCACTTAATGACAAAATTATTTAAAGAGCTAGCCCAGGGAGGTGTTTTGAGGTAGCTAGGACGCAATTCTAGCATATACAAGGTGTTGAGCTTGATCCTTGGCACTGCATGCCTTTAACTTGCCAAGGTAATACTGGATATTACTTTGGTACGCCCCGGTATTGCCAGTTCAACGCACTACCAGATGTGGGTCTTACAAAAACTAAAATTAAAACAAGGAGTGGCCTTTATTACACTGCTATCATCACTCCTCCTCAGCCCATTGCTTTCTAGAAGCTACCCCAATTCTACAGCTAAAACTGCACTTACCAATGCCTTCGCCACCTTTTTATTCCTAAGTCTGTTGACTTCAATAATTTTGTATCCCACAGTTCTTAGTCCCAGACGCCATCATTTTGCTCTTTCTTTATATCAGATATACCATGATTCCTCCTTTTCCTACTCCTAGGACACTGTGCCTGTGCTTAATCCCATGCTTTTTTCTTCTTCTGTCCAATCTTTGACTATCAATGTCTAATATGTATAAAAAATATGTGTACCCACAGTAATTTACAAACAGAATCAGTCCCTTTAAATACCTGATGGGCGCCCCTTTTGGACTATATCTTTCTATTCTATCAAATTCCTGAATGATGTCTAATATTATGATTTAAGAAAATACTTTAGCTACATCTATTTGAGCAAAAAAATTCAAGTCTTTCTCAAAAAAGTCACATGTTTTTAACACTATATAAATAAAATCACACTGTAAGTATCTTCCATTGATTTTTAAAATAAACAGAATATGTGAAATTCATCCATTTTGCTGTAGATGACTGATTATTATAGTACAATCATGTCGTCTGAATATACCACACTTTATTATTCTCTTTCGAAATAACAGTATGACTGATGACTGTTAACCATAGATGTTTGCTTTCTATTAAAAACATTGCTTCTGTCAATATTTTGAAAATATATCTTGGTCTTCAAAAGATTTCTGATTATAAGAAACTAATGTTCCTCAGGAACAGTTCTCAACTGAAAAAACAGTTATAAATATCACTTACTGAGTTTCTCAAAACTCTGTGGTATATATTTTATTTTATTTTCCAGAATTCTCCAGGTCTAAAGAGTCACAGAAGTAAATAGCTTCAAAACATTCACTCAATAGCTATTTCCTGAGACTATATCTTGAAAGTGCTGATTGCATTTTTTCTAGACATCTTCTGAGAATTCAAACTAAATATAATATTTTATATGAATTATTAGGAATTCTCCATAGGCACTTGGGATATCAACTCTATGCTGAGTATATTTTGTTCAAAATGCCTTGTTCTAAATTTATATTTTGGAGTTGATTTCTTTGAGTAGGGTTTCAAAGTGGATGTTTTCATAAATTTAGTCACAAGAAGAGGTAGATTTCATCAAAGTAGGAAAGAAGTATAATAGGCAAATGAAGAATGAAAGGTTTTGTAATGTGTAGTCAACAATTCAACCCAGAGGCCAGGCATGTGTGCATGTGTGTTAAGTGGTAAAGTTCATATGTTGCATATCTCCTCCAGTGGGTGCTCTGCTGCCCCCTAAGCACTGTGGCTACCACAATAGTGATGAAAACAATAAATAAAATAAGAATTTACTGATGGATAACAAAACATGAGTTCAAAAGGTAATGGTTAGGGAAAGGTTTGAACCATATCCAGTGGTACTCGGTGACTACTCCTGACTCTGTTGAGGAGTGACCCCTGGTATTTGGGCAAACCATATATGAATGGTGCCAGGATTGAACTCGGGTGGGCCACAACAAAGCAAGCACCTTAACCCTTGTACTGTCTTCCCAACCCTTAAGAGATAACATTTGGGGCTGGAGCGATGGCACAGCAGGTAAGGCGTTTGCCTTGCACGCAACAAATCCAGATTCGATTCACAGAATCTCATATGGTCCCCAGAGCATCACCAGGAGTAATACCTGAGTGCATTAGCTAGGAGTAACCCCTGTGCATCGTAGGGTGTGATCCAAAAAGCAAAAAAAGGAAAAAAAAGAGATAACATTTGATGTAAGAAAGTATTAAGATTTGAGAATATCATAGGAACAGGAATTAGAAAGTACTAAACACTTGATTCAAACCTTGAACTTTATCTCATATGATTAAAAATCCTGAGAATCATTGTTTAACTTTATGTTTTTCTTCATTATAGTACATTAGAATTTATATCATAGTTTCTATGATCATGGTACAGATGTTTAATAGCTCTTAATCCAGATTTAACTACTATTTTACTTTTAACAGCCTACTGGTTTCTATAGTTGTTAAACAGAAGAAATCACTCATGACTTTTTTAAGGGGAAGATTAATATGTGTAAGAGGAGAAGAATGCTAAACTTCTGGACATTTATTATAGCACTGTAACTGTTAATAAGTGAAAAGGCTTTAAGATTATTAAATAGTTCCAGGGACATTTTGAATTATCCAGCTTTTAATGATTGACGTTGCACACACGCAGGCACTAATGATGCTACATTGTACTACATCTTTCATAAAAAATATATTCCTCATTGCTACTTCTCCAGCAAAGCTTGTGCCGAGAAAACCTGGCTTCTTGCCCAGAAAACTTCTTTGAAGATTTAAAATTGATCACATTCTTCGGATTCCAATTGCAAAGCTGGACTGCAAGATATAAATTGTATGAAAACCAGAATACAAAGTGAAACTTTTTTTTTTCAGAATGGCTATCAGAAAATGCGTGTAGACATTTTACATTGAGACCTATTTTTCAATGTAATATTAAAGGGCATTGAACAGCATATATCATTTCATAGTATGTGTACTTTTAAAAATTTCAGTGCACTTCAAGAATTTATCAAATGACTATTCTACACTTTGACTCAAACGTAATGTCTTTCTCAGTTTTTGCACAGAATCTTATTTATAGATTTGGCAAAACGCTTATGACAATTATGCTTTTTATAAGTATTAGACATTTTCTATTCCTAAAATTAAATGATAAATTATTTGAGAATGAGGAATTTATTAATCTTCTCATTAATCTAATATTACACTTTGAAAACATTATTTAATAATATGAAGTTGGTGCCTAAAGAATATATTCAACTTTTTTGTACCAACTTTTGTGTCTAGTTTTATAACTTCTAATAGAGACAATAATTCTGTCAACATCACCATTTTCAGAAATTATGCAAGGATATGCAAGAAAGAAGACTTTTCTTAGCAAGTTAGTTAAAACTGATTAAGGTAATAGTCATGGTTTATCTTTTTTCTCCTCCAAGCTAGTCATTGAATTCACCATTTTACACCAAGTGATCTCTCGATAATGAAAGAACATTACTTTTCTTTGTGTTTTTCCACTATTGGCTAAGTTATTTAGGAAGTTGAAGAAAAAATGTCTGATTTATATTGATAAATAATTCTCTACTGAGGAAACACTTGCACTACTTTGATTACTCCAAAGTAAAACTTTCAAATGACAAGAAAAAAGAATCATAATAGAACCAAACATCAAAATGGTTTAGTGATTTAGTGGAGGGTACTGATGTCAGAAAATCAGAAGCTGAATCTATTCTTTCAATTATTTTATCTCTGTGAACTTTACA